CTGAATTACCGAATGGAACGCCATACAAGCAAAGTCCGATGCTCAACAAATCAGTCTGGAGCGACGGTTATGTAGTTGCTTGCGCACGGTAGCGTTCTCGAAATAAAATATGGAAAAATAGATGCTCCAAAGCAGTAGCAAGCAGAAGCTATGCTCTAGCAGAATGCGTCATGCAAGTCTCCTGAAAGGTCAGGTCACCAACGACTCGCAATGATATTATATATCTGGTCCAGTGACGTTAAAAATGTCTAATAAAGTTACACTGATCCTCTAGTATCGTTTTACCCTACTAGATTTCTGAACCACAGCACTTCAACTAGTGCTAAGGAGCGAAACAAATTTTTGAATGTATAACTCAAATGGAAAATCCAAATTTTATGGAAAAAGGAATTCCTGACTCTCTATCTCACTATACAGGGGGGAAAGACTTTTCTTCCTTGACTTTCGAAAGGTCACATCTAATAAAGTTACACTTTATCAAATTCTTATCGGACATTTCTACCACCATATTGAAGAGCATATTAAATACTATCATGATACTCCGCCACAGCCTTCTGGAGGAGCGCCATCGAGAGATTCTGCCACGCGACCGTCAGTGGGTGCCTGAGTTCAGCGAGATCGTTGATTTCTCCGCCACCGTAGACCGCCCTCCAGGTAATTGAGGGGTTTAGGTCAGGTGACCTGCTTAGATATTCCACCTTCTTCAGGTACTCAACGCCCTTCCATTCCAAGTAGGCAAGAGTTTTCCCAACGCCCTTTCGATTCCATGTGGTGTCACCCAATCCTGTAGCAGTACAAAGTTTCCAAGAAGGTACGGGCGACGACATGTGGGGAAGATATTCTTCTCGAGTTGCTCGATGTAACCGCCAGCGCTCACCTTCAGTCCGGGGTCCACGAAGAAAATATCGGTCTTTCCATTCCAGGTACGTCCGGTCCCCACCATCAACTGGCGCCTTGGCGACTGAGGTGAAGATGATGTCCTAGACCGTAGCGACGTTGTCGGAGCTGCTCGATGTTGGAGGTCTTCCAGATCGAGAGTACTGGTCTCCAGGCCATGGGTGACTCCATACTAGAAGTTTCGCAGCTGTTTGGAGGTGACATGAATTCCAAAGGTCTTCTCCAGTCAGGCTGCGACTGGAGATGACTTCATATTTTGGTGTACATGAAGGTGATGGGCGAGAGCCAGCTCCTGCTTATCGAGGAACATCTTGGGTATCTTCCGCCCTGGTACTCGTATCCACCACCTCTTCTCTCTGGGCTGCGAAAACTTTGCTGATATGTGACTCGAAAATGTCTTTTTTTTTTGCCCCCCTCCCTGTATCTGTGGAAAACACATATAACTGCTGATGAATCGCTCACAGATCAATCCCTATTGAAAGTAGGCCCTGAAATCACTCTAACCATCTCTCGGGAAAACCCACTATAGCTGGATGACCTCACCGGGAGACCCACACGAGCAATACCCCTTAATATCAACCCTTCACGCGAAAAATCAGCTGTAGTCGAAGCGCAGAGGCTGGATCATAGCCGAGCTTACATTGTGTCTAGCCAAGACGGCATGTCTTCGAGAGCCTCATTTCCTCACCAAGACAAAAGCTTTCGAAAAAAAAATCGAAAACTGTTTCACCAGAACACAGCTACAAGAAGGCCATCGGACCGTCATATGATCATGTCAAACTCCGCACAATTGTATTATTCGGCAGCATTTCGACGGGAAAAAAAGTTCAAAGTGCAACTATAACTTCAGCTCAGTGTTCAAATGCTTTCTCGAAACTGAAAACAGGCCATCGTTTCTTGGGGTTGGCCTTTGCGTGACATACTGCTTTTCCAATCTGTTTTCCTCTCCTTGTGATTTGAATGAAATCTTTCACATTTTCGAGTGAGATAACCCAATATTTACAGTTAAATATTTCATATTCTGATTTCAACACTTCCTTGTTTCGTTTTCGCAGCTGAAGCACCTTTTCAATGCTGTAGAAGCACTTCGAGAATAGACCATCCATCCCTATTTCCAGAACAAGGGTGAAAAATCGTAATTTCATTCATCAGAAAGCTCAGAAAGTACAAATTCGAATTTCTTAAACCCCCAGTAGTGGAAGAAGGTAAGGACATCAGTGCTAAACGTCTAGATGTGCTAGTCCCGGTCCCTTGACGTTCTCCTTCACCACGACCCTCTCCAGTCATAGTATTCGGACAAGGCTTAAAGTCGTTCTGCCTCGACTCTAGTAATAGGTAAGTCCTCCAGTTGATTCTCGATCGAAGTGGTTCTTCCCAGCATCCGGGACTTTATTGTACCTGGTTTCTGACGAGCAAACACCAGCCGGTCGACCCGGCCATTTGCAGTGAGGTCTACATCGTTGTATGCCAGGGCACATCATTGGTTGGGGATTTTAGTCGAGTCTGTACGACCCCCCCCCGGTCCTCTATTCCCTCCTCATCGAATCGAGCCGTCGAGCGGGAGAGGGGAGGGTGGGGGGGGGGGGAACCCATGTGAAACAGGAAAAGCCGCCGCGAGACAAATCGACCCCCTCTCTACTAATTTTCAGATTATACGCATGAAACAGGAAAATCACCAAAAGTCAACCACCACTCCTACAACGCCAAAACGTAAATACGACCCCCCCCCTCCCAACAATGACCAAGTACGACCCCCCCCCTTTACAACGTCCGTGAAGCGAGAAAAATCAACTATCAAAATAAATTTTTCTCAGCCCAAATACGACCCCCCCCCTATTGGGGATTCCCCAACAACGATGGGCCCTGTTGTATGCTGCAGTCGTAGTTATGAGTAGTCTGGTGTGCCACATTACTTACGCTACCAGTTTTGTTTCGTTAGTCCCAATTCACTGATTAGCCTCGTGAAGTAACCCATCATGATGGTTCTTCTGTTTTGAAGGAAATGGACCATTTACTATGTGGGAATTCCTTTTTTTCCATTAATGGGTGATTCGGTCCTAAAAACAGTGAACCCCATACTCACTTGCCATCCGTGATTGCTTCACTTCTTCGAAGCTAGATAATCTCTAATGCTAAAACATTGTATCTGGGGGTAGCTTGTGTCTTCAGAGGTAGTTTGAGCCTCTGAATACGAATATCGCACTAGTTTGGCCCGAAAACCCTTGTGAGGTGCACTATGCACGACGGCCCGCCCATGCATTCCGTTAGGCATAATGTACTCAAAGGTCTCAGAAACGGCGTTCAAGCTTACCTATAGCCAAGCGTATACAACTGCCAATTTAGTAGTTCACTTGAGCCGACCAAGATTGTTAACGTTTATTAGGCCAACGTTTCGGCTTGTTCGCCTTCGTCAGAGCCTGAAAGAGTCGAAACAGATGTGACTTGTTCTCTCAAACGCCTAACTAAAACTGAAGACCATTTCGAGAAGCCGGTAAACCACCTAACAGTATCGGTCAGTAAAGATGACTTGGCTTACCTTGATCGCGGTGACGCGAGATGGACCACCCAGGCTGTACTACTAAATTGACATCACAACCGTGCCGAGATTGAAGGATAGTCGGACCTGGTCGTATACAGCTGCGATGTAATCATGCTGTCAAAAACCCTGAGCGTGTTCCTGTAAAAGGCGAATCTTACCAGGAAAGGTCAACAGGTCAGCCTGGCCATTTCCAATGAGGTGCACACCGTTGTGTGCGTCTTGAAACGGTGAACTCAAATCTGTCTTCAGAATTTGCGGAACAATTCTCTGAGCGGAGACATGGAGAGATTAATCCCCGTAGTTGAGTGAGCATGTATCGAGGGATGGTTCCCGGCATATCGCGTGTTTTTGCATTTGTCCAAGAACATGGCCGACAAAGCTTTAACATCTCTGCTCGCCTGCACTACCTTGTAAGGGGAGCTGCGAATATTTATTTCTGAAAGTGCAAACCCCTGTGGCCTGAAAGAGTGCTTGTGCTTGCTCCCCCCCCCCGTAACAAATGTCACAAGGGTTTTTGCAATGAAACAGTATATTCATGTTCAGCGGGTCAAATTACCTCTGGAGAACAAGTTTCTAGCCGAATCTGATATTTCGACCTAACTTGGAAAATGTGGGCTATTCTATGGGTAATTAGCAGCAGACTGGGGTTCACCCACCATCGATGACTGGTCTCGGGATGGAATTTCCTCCTAGTAATCGGGAAAATGATGCAGAACGCACGAATGAGTGAGCCAGGTATTGTTCCCCACAAGAAGACATGACCATGACAGATATTTCAGCTCGAAGACCAGTTATTACCAGTAGGCAAGTCGTAGTATCGCTGTTGGCTACCAGTCCACCGTGACTAACCTAACTCTATTTTTTCGAAGTTGAGTCAGAACCTCAGATTTCGCTGGAGTGCCGTCGCTAGGGGTTATTTGACCCCCTGAACACGAATATGATACCTATTTTGCGCGAAGAGCGCTGTGAGTCGCGCTACATGTGCCTAACGCTTCGGCGCCAGCGCGCCCGAAGAAAAACAGTAAAGAAAAACCTCCATAACTCCGCTCAGAGAATCGTTCCGCAAATTTTGTAGTTTTGAGTTCACCGTCTCAAGATGAGTACAATGATGTGCACCTCATTGCAAATGGCCGGGCTGACTTGTTGACCTTTCCTGGTTAGATGAAGGAACATCCAACCTCACTACCGCTTTCCTGTAGGACAGTCCACCTGCCTACTGATCCACGTTACAACATTTTTGTGTCGCTTTACCGCCTCTATAAGTGCGCCTGTGCGAGCGTAAGTGGGGAGAAAAGAAGAAGGGACCTTCCTAACTCCATCCAGAGAATGATCTCGCGGATTATTCAAGATCTGAGTGCAGCATGGCAAGGCGCATACCTCTGTGCAAACCACAGTGCGAGTAGCGGATCGACCTGTTGGGCTTCCATTTCGACTCACGATTTGGACACTAGTCACATCGTTTCAATATTGAGAAGCCACATGAGCCAGTTGACCAGTTGAGGAGAGACGCGAAAACGAAACAATGGGGCATTCTAATCAACTAAACGATTCGAGCTATTTTCAGATGTCCCTAAGGCGAAGGAATTGTACGAACAATTCAAGTACATGACTTCTTCTATTGGAAAAAAAAGCTTGAGTTTATATGTACTATGTTGAGCAGCAGTTGTACATTATAGTATTCTTTTTCAAGGGCAACCTCTTCAACCACGACTACTCGATCTACGGAAGACCACCACAACGACTAAAAAACTTACAACGACAACTCCGCCTAATACAACTATTCGGCCTACTACAACTGTCGCCACGACTTGTTCCGACATCAAATTCTACGACCACTGCACCCACCTCAACGGCCAATTCGTCTATTGCAACTACTCCGCCTACTACAACTGTAGCAACGACTTTTCCAGCAGCTACAACTATTATGACTACAGCAGTAACTATTCCGGCTGTCCTGGATTCTACCACTGCACCGATAACTACAAAGAATACCACAACTGCCGCCACGACTTTCTCAAAAATCACGACTTCAGCGACTGCACCGACGACTACTTCAACTGTCGCGACAACAGCTCCGAAAACTACAGCTTCTGCAACTGTAGTGAGGACCACTGCTACGACTGTCGCGTCTACAGCTACGACAGCTAGGACTTCTAATGCTACTGCGGAGGCAAAACTTTCTACTGTGAGTTCTACGACTACTGTCAGACCAGCAATGTGTGTAAAAAGAGTATAATTTGCATAACTAGGGCTCCCAAAAAGATGCTTCCATCCACAGGGACTGCACCTAGAAATCACCTCTCTTCTCCTCTCCTTTTTTGCAAACGTTTCGTCATTCGTCGCGCTTAAAGCATTCTCGAATTGGCCATGAGGCGAGGCTTCGAAACCAGTATCCCATCGATGACGCGTGTGGTTGTAGAGAGGTTTTCTTGAAGTGCTTATTTTATTTCCAGCTCTCCCATTCCACCACCGGTCCATTTCCGATTACCTTCTCTTGTCTATGTAAGAAAACCCCTGGCAATGCTATTTTCAGGATACGGAAGGTGATGAAAACTCCGAAGAGTCATCGAAGTGAGTTTCGTATTTCAAGTATCATCGTAGCACTTTTGTTCTATCAGTCATCTCATTCAGCTGATGTGGGAGGTTTGATTCACATAAGATGAAGAGCAACACAGTTAAAAAAAGTAATGCCTTACGATTAGACTCGAGTTAAGGGTAGTGCTGGCGATTACTGCGTGGTTGTAGAGAAGGGAACCATTATCATGTGGTACATAAAAAATAGTGAAGTAAAAACAAATCATCCTACTATATATAAACGGCAACGTCTGTCTTGTCTGTGTCTGTCTGTCTGTCTGTCCGGAAATTCGGAATCACCTGAAGAGCCAGTTGGAGGGGGCGGGTCAAGGGTGGGTTGGGTAGGGCATGGGCCAAGATGTACGGAACACACATGAACTAAGCTAAGCCCCGCCCACTGTGGGCGGGGCGTGCGCACAGTTGTGAGCTACATTTTTCAAAAATTCGTAGTTCGGTTCCAAAAGAGCCCCGAGAGTGGAAAAAGTGGCAAACGATAGGCAATCAGTTGGCGGACGAAATGAGTGAGACAAACCCATTCTGGGCGGGGCGTTCTATAGGTGGGCGGTGCTTGCTACGAAACTTTCAAAAATTCGCAGTTCGGTTCCAAAAGAGCCCCGAGAGCGGAAAAAGTGGCAAACGATAGGCAATCAGTTGGCGGACGAAATGAGTGAGAGCCCATCTGGGCGGGGCGTTCTATACATGGGAACGAAACTTTCAAAAATTCGTAGTTCGGTTCCAAAAGAGCTCAGGAGAGTGGGAGAAGTGGCAAACGATAGGCAATCAGTTGGCGGACGAAATCGATGAAGCACACCCCTGATGGGCGGGGCGTTTGCCGAA